TCCTCCTCCTCCTCCTCCTCCTCCTCCTCCTCCTCCTGCTCAGTGGAGCTGTCCAGCCTGTCTCTCTGTATGACCAACTCCAAACAGGGCGAGCCCTGCTTCTACGTCATCGGACGTACCGAGAACTCGCGGTTGGTGACTCTCTTTCTCCTCCTTTCCTCTGTCTTCATCCCTTCATTTTCTCCTCAGCATCATCATCATCGTCATCATCAAGTCGAGCCTCTGTCATGTGATCAGGTCACATGTTCATGTGTTTGTGTTGAAGGTGGTTTTAAGTGGAAGGCTTCTGAATATTGTTTCTGCTTTTTCGTCAGGCCTTGAGGAAGGAGCCCTCTCCCCCTCCTCGTCCTCACGGGATCAGGAGTTCGTAGCCATGACAACAGCTTCCCTCAGCAGGGAGTGGAGAGAAAGAGAGGGAGAGAGGAGGAGGGAGAGGAAGGTGGAAACCAAACGGAGAACAGGAGGCGCAGGGCCTCCTGATCTGGACCTGGACCGGGTGGAAGAAGAAGCTCAAGAGGAGCAGAAGAGGATGCAAAGGAAAAGAGAGGAGGAGGAGGAGGAGGAGGAGGCTGAGATGAGACGACAAGAGGAGGAGGAGGAAGAGGAGAGGAAAAGAAGAAGAAGGAGGAAGGAGGAGAAAAGGGAGAGAAGTCAGACAAAATTTGACAACCAGGGAAGGAGAACCAGGAGCTTACCCAGGAATGGAGCCTCTTCCTGGGGGTCCTCCCTGCCAGAGGAGGCGGGGGGCGCAGGGCAAAGCGACAGGAGGAGGAGCCACACCGTCAGCCGCCATGCAAAGGATCATGGGAGCTCTGCCACAGCTCCAAGAGAAGCGTTCTCCTTCCTAATGCCGATGAATGACAACCCTCCGTCTGACAGCGAATCAGCCGCCAGCTCAGAGATCCGCCAATCATCAGCCGTAGTCAGGGGGGGGGCGCAGGAGAACGGGCCGGGTCTGTGGCTGAAACCCAACCCCCAGAAGCTGAGCCAGGTTCTGACTGGCAGCAGGTTCAGAGGGCGGGAGCTGGCAGACGGGCTTTCTCTCTGATTGGCCAGCAGTGACGACATTTTCCTGTTTCTTTGCTAAACTTTTTTTATTGGCGTTATAATAAAGGGCTAATATGGTTGGCCTGCTGAGAGAAGGCCCGCCTCTCACTACATCCTATTGGACAGGAGCAGATGAACCAGCCTCTGATTGGACCTGCAGCTGCTCACCACTCCTCCTGCCTCACTCTCAGCCCTCCAACCAATCGGTACCTTGGTTACCGTGACAACCAAAACTATTGCATGTTTGGTGGAACTGCTTCCTGTTCCTCCATCATCATCATCATCATCATCATAACAGTCCTTTAAACTGTATGCAAACGTCGGCGCTGTCTTGTGACTGTCCTCAGCATGTGAATACAACCGGAATGAGTTTTTTATTTTTATAACGTGTAAATGATCGCTGACACGATTACCGATATATTACTGACATGATTAGAGATGAACAGAACCTTACGTGTGATCTGCCTGCCTGCTTTTAAAAAGACAAACCGATGATTTAACAGAGCCATACCAATACGCACACACTGATGTCAGGTCCGGCTGTCGTCCAACAGCGTCACCATGGCGACCGTGTGATAGTGACGGGATGAGCCGCAGCTCCGGATCAGAACAAGTGCCTCGTTTTTTTTTTGTTTTTTTTAAGCCTTCGTCCTGCGAACCTCGGCCTTCTCCTGTCCCGTCTCTTCACCACGCTCTTCCACGATGCCAAGTATCACAGCCACTCACACAGAACCGGTTCTATATGGAGTTTTATATGAAAGATTCAAATAAAGACTCAATAAATATGCTGGAGTTTTGTCTTGTCTGTACAGCTGTGGAGTCAATTTTGTTCCTTAATCGTTGCAAAGAACATCGGACTGGAGTAGTGACAGGCAGCCCGGCCCACAGGCGGCTACGCTCTACCCATTCTATTCATTCTAGCTCATCTGAATCGTTCATTTCCATTTCTAGAGCGAGATCATCTGTGGTAGCAGCTCTAGACATCTTCCAGGCATGTAAGGAAAACTAGCAGCAGTTCAGCGGACAGGAGGAATGTAGGGGCGGATTTACCATTAGGCAAAACTAGGCAGCTGCCTAGGGCCCCAAGTTCGTGGGGGCCCCATAAACCTCCTTTTTACATGTATGGTTAATACAGGTATTACTCATTTGTGCGCATTAATTATGTTTTTGATGCAAATCCTGCAGCAAAGCATTTAAAAACAAATGGTGACAAGAGTACTGTT